TCTTGGAGGGCAGGGAACAGCAACCCTGGAACCCATTAGGCCGACGAGGACCTATTTAATTCCTGTAAACAGGAGACACCATTTAACCGAAACTGAGCTTAAAAATAAACAGCCAGGCTTTAAGGGCAGGAGTTGGGGGGTGGGGGTTGAGGGAGATGGTAGATGCCAAGCAACGAAATGGCTCTGTGGATCCACATTTCCTCTGGCCACACCTCGCAGCCTCCGCTTGGATCCCATCCCCGGGTCCAGACAGCATCGTTTGACCAGGGTTATTTCATATCCGAGGGGTTATCGAACGAATGATCTTCACTTTACTTAAAAGCGCCCAGAGATTATTGTTTATTTGCCGTGAGTCATTTGATGCAAGCAGAAGTCCCGGCAGCAAACAAAAGTTTTTGTTCTGTCCTGTTTCTGTCATGCCACCTTTCCCCCACTTCTCCGTTCAGTTCCTTTCTCCCTTTCCCCACGCCACCCCAAGAAGAGGTCACCAATTTCAAGGAAGTGTGCGCCAGAACCCCCAGAACTCCAGCTGGGAAAAAACCAGTTGCGCTAGGGCCTCCATCAACGCAACGTTCTGCGTTCCCCGCGGGTCCAGGCAACAAGCATCACCCTCTAGTCGGAAGGGGGAGCTTTCATGTCTTGATTCAGTTTGCGCGGGAAGGGATTACAAGGCCTGTCGTGGGTTGTGACTTAGGTAATTTTGTTTTTTAATGTGCAGAAACGACAAGGGTGTTTGAGCACGTCTTTCGATCCCCTCCCCCACGAGCAACTTTATCGCGCAAACTCCCAGAGCCCGAGAGCCTCCCGCTCCGGGAAAAAGCTCAGTGTCCTTCTCAGATTAGCCTCCCCTGCCAAGGAAGCTGGTCCTCGAATTCCGGCGCGAGTGCAGAAGACGTGATGTGTTCTTAGCTTTTTGCTAGGGAGGCCTTTGTAAGGCAGCCCTTAAAGCCTTGGGGTTGCGAGTGACACAAACTGGTGTTCAGCTGCAAGCCAATGGCTAAGGGTTTGGTCTGCGGCCTGAAAAGTGTTTTAATCATTCCAACCCAGAAGAGCAGAACAAATTTCTGGTTTAAGGGTTCCTTCCCTTACCCCCGGGCTTGTTCCGGGACCTGCCAGTTCGCCGGGCTTGAGGATACTAAACCTGAACCCGGACGGCGACGCACACCCCGCGCAGGGCTCACGCGGGCGCGTCCCCACACGCACGCACTTGAACGCTCAGCAATCCTTTTCCAAGGCTGTTCCCTCTTTCCGGGGAAATAAAGCCTAGATTGGAACCTTCTGCCGGCTTCCTCACTTGGCCGTCTGGTCTGCATTAGTGTTTTTATAAGGGACTCAAACAAATCGAATACAAGGTCACCAAATAATTAACAGTTGTGAATTCCCTCCGTCCCCATTAAAATACTTCCCTGCTTATATTTCATTTTCCGTTTGCCAACGACAGCAGGGTCGGGGCAAAAGCGCCTCTGCGTTGATCGCACCACTCTGCGGCCCAGGTCCCCCCAGAAACTGGATGTTTTGCATAAACATGCTGCACCAGAGGAGCTTCAATGAGGAGAGAACTATGCCGCTCTCAGAATGTCCTTCTTCTGCCGGGCTGCCCCTACAACTGTCCTGCCCTGCCCTCTGGTAACCGCGACCCAGAAGGTAAACCTAGAAGTCAACAATCAGGGGCAAACTCTCCTAAGGTTCATTTCTAGGGTGTCGAGTTCCTCAAGGACGTCCTAGTCTCATTTCTTTTTGTTTGTTTGTTTTGTTTTGTTTTGCTGGCTTTTATCTGTTCCCTACTGCCTCCTTCCTGAGAAGGCTATTGTAACAACAAGGCTCCCTCTCCCCCAAATTTAAAGAGTATTCTTATTTCAAAATCATCTGGGAATGTAACTCACAGGAGTATTCTTAGATTTATTTTGCTTTCTTCATCCTCAAGAGGTTCCCCCCACACACAGACCTTATTGGAATTATGGGGCACTTCTCACTACATGAAGTCCGAGTTTTGCTTCTCTCTTCCTCCCCCTATATCTCACAGCCCAGTCGAATTCATAGGCATTCTCATTGTCTGCCTTTCCCAGGCCCCAGGGTTGCGGAGCCAAGGCTCCAGTACTCGTGGTCTTTTAATGAATTATACCATGTGCTAGCTGCTATTTCTCTGTATGCAACCTGGCCCATCCTGACTGTATGACTGCACCAACACACACACGCACACAACACACACGTGCACACACTTCCTCATCTTTATCCGAAATAATTTATAAAGCACAATATGGGGCTGTTTTTAAACATCAGGGATAATGCGGCTTGTGCCTTTTACAGGGAGTACAAAGAGGAAGCAAAGCACAGCACAGTTTCGGACCCTTGAGCCCAAAGTTTCACTCCAACTCCTAAATGGGTCTTAAGAGATTACAGAGGAATATCAGATGGGGAGGGAAATCTGTCCATTTTTTCTGACTTCTTCTTGCCACCATCCTTTAGAAACCTCACCCCCTTACCCTGTCCATGTAGTGCCATAGGTGAGCATGCAGGGTCTAGTTTTGGATATTTGCTTCACCTCTCACTACTGTGTGACCTTGAACAACTTACTTAACCTCTCTGTCTTCTTTAATTCACCTGTAAAACAGTGATTATAGCACTTACCCCCAGGGGAGGGTTGCGAAATAATTTATATAACAGATTTTAGCCCAGTACCGCGTACTGGTAAATGTTCACAGCAAATGCTCAATATGTCAATTAATCTTGGTTATTATTATTATTCCTAGTTGTTTGGAGAGCAAACTGAATGGGGAATGTGTTTTTTGTTTTTTTGGTTTTCTGGGGTTTTTTTTTTAACTTACAATAAGGTCACCTCATGGAGGGGGAGGGGTGGTGAGAGAAGAAGGCAGGGGTGAGGCAGTACAGAACATGCAGTCTTTAGTTTAAAGCGCACCTCATTCACTCACATTGGGCAGAGTTTATCCTTGCTCTTCCATTCTTGAACGCAAGCCTTAGGTGTAACTTTTGGGGCTCTGGAGTTCCCGGGAGAAAAAGGCTTTTTACAAATACTGTACTTAAGTAGTTCATGCCTCGAGAACCGGCTTCAGGATTCCTTCCGTTTTCTTTGCTCCTCCCCCTGAGGGACCCCGGCTTCTCGAAGCCAAGCCTGCCACACTCGACGGCGATTTAAACATCCCCGAGGCAAGGCGCCAAGTGAGAGCGGCTGGCCCAGCTCTCGGTTGGCCGCTGCTCTTTCCTCCTTGTCCTGCCATCCACGGTTGGGGGAGGGGATGTTGGAAGGTTTGGCGCGGTTTAGGAGTCCCCACGTGAGAGGGGCGGAAGTCCTCGCCAGGAGCCGGGGATGCGCGGCTGGCGGGTCCCTTCCATCACGGGAGACTAGACACCGTTTGATGTGTTATGACATGAACCCTCAATTAGATCGCTGAGTTGAAACACTCCAATCAGGGGCCCGATGCTAAGCAAGCCCCGGAAGGTCCAGCCCGAGGTCACCGCCGGTGACACATCAAATCAAAATCAGTGAGAGGGAAAGTGAGGCTTTCCCTTTATCAAGCTGGGGCTGCAGCCCGCAACAGACCCCCTCCTCTGCGCGCCCCCTCCAGCCTGCGGCTCCGCGCTCCTTCGCCCCCGCGCGGCGTGCGGCCAGCCGCACAGCCTCCCCAGTCAACTAACTGCCTTTCTTCGCGTTTTCTGGGAACCCGAAGGCGTGGAGGTGACC